TCGGATCCCGCATATAGGCCTGTTCCAGCGCACTGGCTGAGCGAGGTGCGGGCGCAGCACCGAGGGTTGCGATCCCGTTGCCGGTCCCAGTCCGGTACGGGTGTGACACTGAGGGTTGTGATCCGTTGCCGGACACTAAAAAAGACAAAAAGGAAAAAAAAAAAAAAAAAAAACCCAAATATATAAAAATCCGTGCATTCTCTTTCTTAAACAGCTTTATTGAGATGTAATTCACATACCACTCACCCATTAGAAGTATACAATTAAACGGATTTTAGTATATTCACAGATATGTACATCCATTATCAAAATCAATTTTAGAACATTTTCATCATCTCAAAAAGAAACGCCATACCCTACTAGCTAACACCCCCTACTTCCTCTCTGTCCCACCCACTCACCTTTCCTAAGCAACCATTAATCTACTTTTTTTCCCTATAGATTTCCCTGTTATGGACTTTCAGATGAATGGAAACATAATATGTGGTCTTTTGTGACTGGCTTCTTTCCCTAGTATAATGTTTTTAAAATTCAGCTATGTCATAGTAGGTGTTAGTACTTCACTTCCTTTATGGCTAAATAACATTCTATTATATGAATATAACACGTTTTATTTATCCATTCATCTGTTTGTGGACATCTAGGTTGTTCCTATCTTTTGGCTATTATGAATAATGCTGTACAACTTCTTGTGTAAACACACTTCAGGAAGTCCTGAGTCTTTTGATTAATTTTATCATATTCCAATATTTTAAACTGTATAAGATACACATCTAGTACATTCCCAATCATTCAAGTAATCAGAACATTCACTTAAACAAATTATCCAATTCTTTAAACTCTCACTCTTGTGAGTTTAAGGCCTTCTAGACCTTATTCAAAACTATACATTGTAGTAGCATCTAGCCTATCACCTTGCCCAAAGAGATTTTTTAAATTAAATTTTGGATAAATGAACATGTACTAAAAAGAGTTTGTGGAGAAGGAAGATATCGAGAAACATCCAGTGAAACTTACATCAAAATCATACAATTTACAGTAAGTCTCTGAATGCAGAACAAAGATATGGAAAGAGATTTGGTATTAGCAAATAGCTCAGAAAGAAACTCAACTTGTCCCCTGCCTAACAAGGGCCCAAAGGAATAAGCTAACCCCTTTTAAACATATTGGATTGTTTCACACTGTGAGTTATGATTACGCATTTGTAGCTGGGGGGAAAAAAACCCAAAATACAAATATAATTACAATATCCCATCTTGAAATAAAGACTACAGTGCATGAAAAAAACCTACAATGTGAACTACTTTGGGGGCAAAGAGGTAGCAGTCAGAGCTGAGGGGCATGAAGAAAGTCCTTATTCTTGTTTCGTTTTATTAAAATTTCTGCAAGCACACCAACTGTGAAGAATGGATTTGTTTTGTTTTGAGGAAAGTAGGGGAATTTTGAAAAATACAGAAAAGCTGAAAGAACTAGAAGTCTTATAGTATCATTATGGTTCCCAAAGATTCTCATTGCTCTAATGATCGCTCAACAAAGACTGTTGAGAAATCCACTAGACTACACTATGTACACTATGTTCATCATTTTAAAGAACACCCATAAACAAACACAAAGATGACTCATGCCAATAAATGCCCTATCATTTAAATGTTTCAGGTAATTACCACTAATTCTAGAGAGAAATAATAATAATACTGATAATTCCAGTATTATCCCAGGTACTTTGGTCTAACATAACCTGATCCATGTACCTGAATGTTACAGTGCCAAACCCATATTACCTAATTACTCCAGGAAGTTATCAGTACAAAGCTAAAATACAGACAGACAGTAACAGCATACAGAATTTGCTCTCAGCAAGACCTACATACCGGCAAGTCCACACTAACATCAGTACCATCCAGAAGGGACACCCGACATGTGATGATAGACTTAGAATCTCCAGCTGCAGGAATATGTGTGGCAGCTCGTTGTGCCTCTCGAAGTCTTTCCTTCTCAGCATGTTTACGCATTGACCGACGCCCAAGTGTTCTCCGGAAGAAGCTCAGCATTTTTTGTCACTATAAAACCAAAGACAAAAAGATGACATCAGGAAAAAAAAAAGCCTCGCCACAATTTGTAGTGAGATAAATGGTAATATTTAGTAAAGTCCTGTGGAACTTAGTAGGTATGCTATTAAAAAGGACTCCTGGTTAAGTAAATTTTAAGAAAAAAAAAAAAAAACAGCTACTTTTCATACATATTTCAAAACATCATATTGTACACAATAAATATGTACAACCTTTGTCAACTAAAAATAAATTAATTTTAAAAACTGGTTACTTTAATTAAAAGTTTTTAAAGACACATATAAGACAGAGTCATGGCTTGTAGCTTTCTAAACTTACTGGACCATTTTATAATGAGGTGGTCTGGTAAAGGAGGTGACACACATTTATGAAGCTCATTGGGTCTTTTGTATCAATAAATTATATGTAAAACAGTTGTATATCCCTACAAACATTAGAAGACGATGTCTGACACTAAGGTATCCTTTGATGATCATAACAGTCCTGAGACATTCTATTTCTTTTCTGAGCATTCATAATAAAAATGTAAAAATAATTATAACCCATTTCAGTTAAAATACAAATATAACTCAAATATCATTTTATCAAATATTCTATTATTTACAAAATTTAAATTACTATTTAACATAAACCTTCATGTGAAACTACTATAATGCTATTCATTTTCCTATCTCTATTGAGAAAACTAAAGTTAATATAAATACTGTAGTCAAGACAAGTACTAGTAATTTTAAAAATATAGCACACTAAAATTAAAACACCATAAAAACAAAGTTATCTTGCTAACCTAATGTGTTTAACTTTCACAACTAAGAGTCTGAATTCTCAAACTAGTACAAGTACATATAACTAAGGCAATAAATAATTTGTGTGTGTGTGTGTGACCGGTAATGGGATCGTAACCCTTGGCTTGGTGTTGCCCGCACCGCGCTCAGCCAGTGAGCGCACCGGCCAGCCCTATGTAGGATCCAAACCCGCGGCAGGAGCGCCACTGCGCTCCCTGCGCCACACTCTCCCGAGTGAGCCACGGGGTCGGCCCACAACAAATAAATTTAAAAGACAATCATTAATTCTGGAGAAAAGAAGTTGTGCTGAAAAGGGAAAGTAATTACTACATGATTCAGCTGCTAATAATTTAAATAGCCATTAACACTATAAACACTAAATATTGATCTAATCATAAAGTAACTATAACTGAGAGGAGATATATAATAGAGGTAGGGGTAGAGGTGTGGAGAGTTATTTCCTCAGCTTGCCTAGTACCAACTCAACAGATAATTCCTAAAATTAAAAAATCAAGAAGTAGAAATAAGAGCATGTGACTTAAAATGTAAAAGTGGTTGCCTGGGAGAGGAGGCCCTGGAGTTCAGAAGAGTGCTATTTTTTAATAGAAGCCTTAAGATTAGATGACTCTTTCAACTAGATATATTTATAAACCGGATAAACATAAAAGGTAATTTTAAGATAAAAAATTACTACCATATTAAAATGTAAGTGTCTATAAACTGATGATCATATAAATTTTACAAGTATGTATACTCCTGTGTAATGAGGTAAACAAATCCCAGGGCAATAAGTAAATTTCAGGCAGCTCTCAAGTTTACAGAGCGCTCATACATAATACCTGGACCTAGTCCCTCTCTCCAGGTTTTCTTTTTCAGGCATTGCTTCTTTTGCACCTTGCTATTCAGTTTCATCTCAGCTGTCTATGTAAAATCATACTTGGTATATCTGAGGCTCAAGCCCTTATGTCAAAGCACTCCTGCTTATTCCTTTTAACCCAACTCTATCAATCTCTCCTGAGAAACATTTTCTGATATCCAAAAAGTTGGCTATTGCCATCATCACATTTCCACTGAACCTTTAAAATACTTTATTAGGGCAGGCCTGTGACTCACTTGGGAGAGTGTGGTGTTGGTAAAACCAGGGCCACAGGTTGGGATCCCCATATAGGGACAGCCGGTTAGCTTGCTTGGGAGAGTGTGGTGCTGACAACACCAAGTCAAGGGTTAAGATCCCCTTACGGTTGGTCATCTTTTAAAAAATAAATAAATAAGTAAAATAAAATAAAATATTTATTAACTCACCAATCAGATTATAATTATTCATTTACAAGTCTATCTTCTTTACTCTAAGCAATTAAAGGACACAATCCCTACTCTGAATAGCTAGCCACCCAGCACAATTCTTAATCCTGAACAACAAATGTTTTGTAAATAATCTTATCTTGTCCTCAGAAAAACTCCACAGGCATTGTCTTATTTTGATGAGTAAACTAAGGGTCAGAAAAATTAAACAATTGGCCAAGTCCATTATTTAGTAAATGGTGAGCATAGGGGCTCAAAACTCTGAGTTTCTGAATCTTGGTCTCTCTTTTTACCACACCACAGAACCATTCATACAAACTCACATTTTAGAGATAAGAAATTTTAAAAGAGCACAGCTAAGAAGGAGCTGAATGAAACACAAACAAAAACATATAAGATGATTTTGGTTTTTAAAACTTAATTCACCTTATTCAAATTGCAAAGGGAAAGAAAGGTGAAGAGGGAACTAGATATTAAAAGAGATTTAAGGGCTGGCTTGGTTAGAGTGTGGCACTGATAACACCAAGAGCCAGGGTCCAATCCCTGTACCAGCCAGCTGCCAAAACAACAAAAACAATAAAAATAAATAAAGGAGACTTAAAATACATATCAATCAATCACAATATTTGGAACTATTTCTGATCCTTATTCAAATTATTTTTAAGTTGTCAGATGCTATCATTGGAGGAAGCTAAATGAAAGGTACATGGGAACTTTCTGTACTATTGCTATAATTTCTACACAAGTCTCATATTATTTCAAAATAAAAAGTTAAAAAGTCATACATCTGTTTTTATATATGTAGTTTATAAGGAGCCTTACACAACAAGTTGACTCTCTAACCTAAATGCATTTATAAACCTAATAAAAATAAAAGCTAAAATATTAAAATACCAACATATTAAAAAATTTTAATAGCCACGCATTGAAGACTATCATCCTCATTTTACAAGTATGCATGCTCTGTGTAATTAGGTAAACTGGCAAAGCCATCACAGCTGTCATTTCAACTTCCCTGGAAATAAATCATACAGGCACACATTTGAACACTGGCTGGGTTATGATAACCAAGAAACTACTGTCATTTTTCTTGTAGATAAAATAGTGATATTAAAGTTATGTTCAAAAAAAAAAAAGTCCCCCTCTCTTAGTGATACATACTAAAATATTCATGAAAGAAATGATGTCTGGTATTTGCGTCAAAATAACACAAGGGAGTTTACTGGCGACAGCAATGAAACAAATTGGCCAGATAACTGGCCAATAACTACTGAAACTGTGTTATGAATACTTTATAATACTTTATTAATTACACTCTTCTGACTATTTTTGTATAGGTTGAATTTTTCCATAACAAAAAAAAAATTTTAAGGAAAAAAAGTTCAAAATGCACCACAACTTTGTGGTTCTTAAGGAGCAAATTAATTAGAAAATGATTTTTCTGACTTCTACCTTATCCTGACACCTTAAAAAACACACTCACTATACAAGTAGAGTTAACCTGTTAAAGAAAAACGCAGCTTTCTTTCAGAGACAAGCTCTTTTTACAAAAATACGAAAGCACCTTACATGAAAATCAATTGTAGATGGAGTAAAGATTTAACGTGAAAAAGAAATGAGAAGGTACTACAAGGAAACAGTAAGTGTATTAGGGTGAAGGGCTTTTAAACGATTTTCTGCAAAGAAATCTTTTTGAAGGATTAATATGCAGTTTAATAAACAACTATTACAAATAATTAAGATTAAACAGCCACTCCCAAAGTAGGCAAAATATGAAGAAATAAGTCCTAAAAAATAACAAAAGATTCATAAAGAGATGTTCATAAAAAAGGTATTCAACAGTAGTCAAGAAAATCCAAATTAAAAATAAAATATTTGTCATTGTGGCTGGCAGTCTAGCTCATTTGGGAGAGCATGGTGCTGGTAACACTAAGGTCATAGGTTCGGATCCCTGTACCATACCCACGAACTGCAAAAAAAATTAAATAAATAAATAACATAAGGTATCATTTGTCATTTAAAAGACCCAAGATAGTCAGTATTAAAAAGGATATGAGGAAAATTATAACCCTCATACACTATCCACTTTGGAGGGGGATTTAACCCTACTATTCAAGTTTTTAATGTCCATATGCTTTCACTCAGCAATTCTACTTCTGGTAGGATAGACTAAAGAAATAGTCACACACGTGCTCTAAGTTGTAAGAACAAGGATTTTGCAGAGCATAACTGCTTAAGAAAAATTGAAATACGTCTATCAACATGCAAACAGTTAAGTTATGGTATATGATATATATATACTTTTACATTACATATATATATTTATATTATATATATAAGAATATAAATAAATATATTTATTTATATTATAAATATAATGGTATATGGTACCACTGTTAGTACCATATGCATTGTTAGTACCATATGCTATATGGTACTAACAAAATTTATAAGTGAAAAATCAAATCCCAGAAAAATGAATATAATTTTATAGTATCGGGTGGGATAGACACACACACACGATTTAGAAGTACCTGCAAACTGTTCAGTTAGGTGCTCTCTGGAGTGCATCATTAAATGTTTTTTAAAAATTGGTTTTTAGGGCCGGCCCGGTGGCGCACTGGATAGTGCACCGCTTGGGAAGCGCGGCAGCGCTCCCACCCGAGGGTTTGGATCCCACATACAGACCGGTTCCAGCTCACTGGCTGAGCGAGGCGCAGGAGCAGCACCGGGGGTTGCAATCCCGTTGCCGGTCCCCAGTCCGGTACGGGGGTGACACTGAGGGTTGCGATCCGTTGCCGGACACGGAAAAAAGACAAAAAAAAAAAAAAAAAAAATTTGGTTTTTTAAAAAAAAAGTTTCTCCATATTCACCCTTTCCCCAATCCTACCCGCCACGCACCCAATTCCATTCTTCATGCTGCAGCCAGTGGATTTTTAGTAACCACAAATCTGATCCCCGTTTTAAAATCTTGAATGATCCTTTCCTCCTACCTGCCTGACCCTCCTGGCAGCCCACTCTGCTCACTCTGCTCTAAGTACTCTTTTTGCTCAGCCTGAGACTCTTTTAAATTCCGATGTTTTTTCATTAGCTGTTCCATCTTTCTGTAATGCTCTTTTTCCACCACTTCACATGGCTAACTTCAGATTTATAGTTAAAATGTCTTTTCCTCAGAAAAGCATCCCTAAGTCTAAATTTCTAAATTATGTGCCCCTTTTTAGTACTCTTAGCCTTTTCTTTATAACACTTGAACCGTAATTTAATACCTAATTGTTTAATTCTTTTTTTTTTTTTTTTTCTTACTGGCTACTTCCCCTACTAGGTCCCCTACTCAAGGACAGGGACCTAGTCTGACTTGTTCACTACCATAACCCCAACAGCTAGCATGGCAACCTGCATGCTAGGCATTCAAACTCACCTGACACTAAAATGATACAGCAGAATTTGTGACTGGTAGGATTATGAGATTAAAAAATGTAGTTTTTGGGGCCAGCACCGTGGCTCACTAGGGAGAGTGCGGCGCTAGTAGCGCCGAGGCCGCGGGTTCGGATCCTATATAGGTAGGGATGGCCGGTGCGCTCACTGGCTGAGCGTGGTGCGGACCACACCGTGCCGAGGGTCGCGATCCCCTTACCGGTCAAAAAACAAAACAAAAAATGTAGTTTTTAATATCTAATTTCTAACTTTTCAACAATGAACTAAGAAGAGTTTTCTTCACAATCATAAAAATGCAAATTGAAGTAATCAGTTTACTAAGCGGTTTTTAAAAAAAATATACATATTCAAAACCCAAAAGTTTGTCATGAAATGTGTACACTTATACATGACTGAAGGCCACAATCTGATAATAAGCCAATATACAGCAAATGCGATAAAGATATCAATATCTTTTGCCCCAGTAATCCCAATAAAGAAAATATAAGTGAGTAATTCAAGAGAAAGTTATACATATCATTTTCTTTTTTTTTTTTGGTCTTTTGTCTTTTTCCGTGTCCGGCAACGGATCGCAACCCTCAGTGTTGCCCCCGTACCTCCGGCAACGGGATTGCAAGCCTCGGCATCGCTCCCGCGCCTCGCTCAGCCAGTGAGCGGGAACCGGTCT